CAGGAATGCAGTCTGCCTGGGTCTGAGTGCTGGTTGTTGAAACCCCTTCTCCCCTTCTCCATCTCTATCTGTTCCCAAACTGTCAAGCCCTGCAGATTTTCCCAGTGATCTCTGTGAAGTGAGACCCAAGTGAGCATCCTGGGAAATGTCCTGCAACACTGAGAAGCTGCATGTCCACCTTTTGCTCTTTTTCCCAGTGGAGAAACTGTAAGCCCAGGAGGTCTCTCTTGGTGCAGCACTTTACCAGCCTGAGGGAAGGGCAATGTGATCAGAGTGTAGTCCTCCTTGGTCTCTGTGGTCCAAGTGAGGCTTCAGCCTCATCCCTGTGTTCTGGAATTTTCACAATGGTATCTTGTCTATGGATAATTGCTAGTGGGTCTTCTTGTGAGGGGGAAGGAAGTCAGGAATGATGTATGTTGCCATCTTGATGACACCATTCTTCCAATTTTGCAAATAATAAATTGATTCAGGCCCTAAATCTCAGTGCTTATAGTGGACTTACTGGGAAAAATTATCCCTCTTGGATAGGAAAGTAAATCTAGTAACTGGAAGAGTATCCCCATATTATACATTTAAGAAAAGCAGGGTAAAACTACTCCAGGTGGGCAATCATTTTTCTCATCGTATATTTGTTTGGGTATTCACTTAGCAGCTACAGGTCTTTCTTCTCCTGCCAGATACCTCTCATCTGCTCCCGCTCAGTTCAGCACTTACACTGCCCAGGGTGGAATCAGTACATTAATGAAAAGAATGGTTACTAGATGCAACTGAACAATTGGAGTTACTGTCCAACCCCAGCGCATCTGATGATGTTCATGCTTTCCTTTAGGCCCTTTGAAATGGACCTAATCTGGTGATTAATGCACAAATGCAGAGTTTGCTGAATTTCATCTTTCTCAAATTTGCACGTGGCAATACTGGAAGGAGAGTAAATGTGTTGTGTGAAAGGATCAGGATCCAAAGAGGTCTGATAATGAGCAAATTTGAGCACATCAGCAACCAGGGTGGTTCCTCATGCATGTAACCTGTGTCCAAATGATCTGAGAAGTGTCATAAGGAGAATACTTGGAGGTATGGGAGCAGGCACACAACAGCTGTCTTCAAATACTGGAGCAGGGATTACCTATGTTGTGTGAGTCTCCAGCATACAGTCCTAGGTCTATTTGATCGAAGCTACAGGGAGGCAGGTTTAGGTACGGTATAAGCAGCAGGTCACCACAAGGGACTGAACAACTCTATTGGACAATTATTTCAAGCAAGAGGTTAGGTCTTGGTGGCCAACATGTCTGGTCAAGTCTCAAATCCTCTGACAACACTAAGACCTATGATTGTGTCACCTCATACCTACTGTTTTTCTTGTGGAAGTTTATGCTCTAGCAAAGAAAACAGCTTCCACTTCCCATGGAGGGTAATCCATTAGAAAGGGGTGGTAAGATAATACTTGATGTTTCAAATATGTCCAAACAGCATAATCCCTTTCTTGTAGGAAAAGATACATATAGCTGTACCTCATTTTATTGTGCTTCACTTTATTGCGCTTTGCAGATACTGCTTTTAGTTTTTATTTTTGTTTTTTGTTTTTTTTAAAAATCGAAGGTTTGCGGCAACCCTATGTTGAGCCAGTCTTTCAGCTCCATTTTTTTCCAACAGCATTTGCTCACTTCGTGTCTCTGTGTCACATTTTGGTAATTTACTCACTTCATATACCTGTGTCACATTTTGGTAATTCTTGCAATATTTCAAACCCTCCACCAGCAAAAAGATTATGACTCACTGAAGGCTCAGATGATGATTAGCATTTTTTTAGCAATAAAGTGCTTTTTACTTAAGGTATGTATGTTGGGTTTTTTTAGACATAATTCTATTGCATGCTTAATAGACTACAGTACAGTTGTCCCTTGAAAATGCACAAATTAGGGGCGCTGACCCTGGAACTGTCAAAAACCCATGTATAACTTTTGACTTGCCCAAAACTTAACTACTAATAGCCTACTCTTGACTGGAAGCCTTGTTGATAACAGTCGATTATGACATATTTTCTATGTTATATGTATATCTACATATATTTTATGCATTCATGATATATCTAACTTTTTCTTAATATTTTGATATTTCTAGGCTACGTGGTTTGTCTGTGAGTTTCTTCAAATTATGGCAAATCTCAAAACATTTTTCCACATATTTATTGAAAAAAATCTGTGTATAAGTGGACTCACAGTTCAAACCCATGTTGTTCAGGGGTCAACTGTATAGTGTAAACATAACTTTTATATGCACTGGGAAACCAAAAACTTTGTGTGACCCACTTTATTGCAGTATTTGCTTTATTGGAGTGGTCTGGAACCACAATATCCCTATCCCTGAGGTATGCCTATATATTAATAGACCAGAGTATGGATGGTTATACACCCAAATGCTAATGCTTGTAACTGGTGGGATTATAAATGACTGGTTTTTATAAATTGAAAGTGATAAAATATTGCATATGGGCAGGAATTGGGACACTTCCATTTACATGTCCTTGTGCTTACCATGAGCACCAAAAATGACTGGTTTATAAGACAGTGGATTCTGTTCAGGACAAGAACCAGACCAGAGGTTCAGTGCTGCAGGTCATTAGCAAATATTAGATATCTCAGTTTATGCTCAATAGAAGATATGATGTGCTTAGCAAAGTGGGTGTTATCAAGTGTTTCTTGCCTCGTTCCCTATCCAACCCCAGCCTTGGGGGTCTCCTCTCATCAAGTTGAAAAACACTTTCAGAAAACAAGAGAACTCAGTTTAAATTCCAATCCTTATTCACCTTAAAAGATCAATTCAGACCCCATGTTTACATTTCCTCATCTCCAAGATAAGGATACTAGTCCACATTACCTCCTCTCCCAAGGTTCTCAAATTCTATGATTCCAACTATGGAAAAAAGCAAGTCAGAACCCACTGGACCTGGACAGAGAAGAGCCTTTTCCACATGACTATTCTGCTAAAGTGGCCTTCCTTCAACCATTTTGTTTGGCTGAAGAGAACCCTTTTGTACTTTCAGTCCTTAGAAGACCACCAAGAATGGACCACCACAGGAGTCTCAACATAATTATATTTATTATTTTATCACTACATTAGAAGTGAAATAAACTGTGAGAAGCTGAAAATGCATGCCACTTCATGAAGATTATGGAACAATGGAGACATCCAGTGTAGAAAGTTAAAAATTGCTTATCCTTTAGGGATGCAAAGACTAGACGCACAAATATCATCAATGGTGTGATTATTGACAGCATCAGCCGGCTGGAATTTATGCACCAATGGAAAGTTTAAGAAAGAAAGTAAGGGAACTTTGGCTACTCCTGACCTCTTAGCCAGGGATTATGGATGAGAAGACATAGAAAATGGCTAAAATCTCTACAAACACATAGGTTTACAAAAAACATGCCTAAAACCAAGACACTCAGGCAATGTTGAAATTTGTTCTTGGGAGGAGATCCCCATTTTACGATGATTGAACACTCTCTTTCTCCCGCTAGATAGCTGGGAAAAAGACAAACACAAACAATCATTAAAGGATATTTTCCTAAGATTAAGTTCAGTTTCTTCCAAGAGAGTTCTTTGCCACTCTTTGCCAAGTCATTGAAGGCTACCATACCTGCTTTAAATTTAGAATGCCAAGGCACTAACTGCAAATCCTCAGTTGTGTGTGTGTGTGTGTGTGCGTATGTGTGTGTGTGTTAACCACCTGAACATTAGAATCTGCATCAACTGTGTCTTTTTTTCCATTTCAGAGTTAGATTTATGCTGTTGCCATTTTTTCCATCGAATATTCTGAGACTGAGGAGCAAGTGAAGTATTTTCCTCAGATTTACCTATCACTATATAATTAGGAAGTTACACCCTTTCAGACAATTTTGACTAACTTAGAAACTCTCAGATAATAGCAACATGACAAAAAGTGCCCCTTAGTTTTGTGAATATGCTTGGAGTTTCTCCATCAGGCTGTAATTCCCAAAGGCAAAACTGATCCCTTCAGTCTGGGAGGCCCAAGTACACCCAAGATCTAAACTTGTTCTCTGCCTTCTCTTGTTGTCAGGTACAGAAAACCAAAACTGCAGTTTGTATAGTTCTTTAGGAATAAGATCATGGACCTAAATTGCTAGATGCAGAAAATTCCAAATAACTATAAAATTGAAAAAATTAAGATTTTTCTAGTGCTGAGTATAATATTCCAAAATTGGTTGTAATGTGATTTTTAGTGATTTTCCAAGAAGAAAATAGTCTTTTATTCCCCCATTACTTCTTGGGTTTATCATGTAAGAACCACTTATATAACCCAAGTAATTAAACAACTATTTGATATTTTTAACCATTGCATTAAATTCAGTGGCTACATAATTATTGCTTACTTTGTGGCAAAATTTACTAGAATAGTTTATTTACTGAACCTATGAATGTTCACCATTGCTTTTCTTCACTAGAAACTCCCCTGCCCCATGACTTACTTTCCTTCGAGGGGAGAGTACTTTTTCCTTCAGTATTAGCTTTCTTCAGTTTTGACCTGTCAAACTTCTCCACTTCAGACAAGTCTGGCTTACCACTCATCTTGACTAAAAGAAAGACTGAAAAAAGATGTTTTAACTTAACTGGAAAAACTATTATCATACTAATGGATCACAACCCAAAATTCTCACATTTAATATAAATATGTATTTTATCTTTTGATTTTCAACAAGAAAACAGCACACATCTTGGGAAAACCATGGTTTTATCAAAATGCTTTGAATTCCACATCATTACCCCACTTCTGATAGGCAGTAAAAGCCACTGAATCAGGATGCACTAGAAACCAAGATGCTCTAAAACCCAGAGTCAATATGTCTGACTTAAAAATCACAGGGAAGGTCAAATGGAGGTGATAGAAACAAAGAGCAGATAGAGATAGAAGAAAAAATAAGGACTGGGCTTAACCAGGAATGAATTTGTAACAGGAGATAGCACTATTTGAGCACCTTCACTTTGTATTCAATTACTTTGGGGGGGTTTTCTTGGGGGTTAGGGAGCAGCACACAATAAATTGTAGCATAAGTTGTACTAGCTTCTTTCCATTTCATCTGCCTTTTCAAAGACGGTAGATTAAGGAGCTGCAATAAGGGAAGGAGGGGATTTAATCCCGTCATAACTAATGACCCGTCTCATGATGTCTCCTTATGGCACTAGTTTGTAAACGCTGTAAGACGGCACAGCTAATTATGATCAGACTCAGGACTTCAGCAGAATGGGATAAACCAGGCACAGTTGATTTTTATTTCACCATATTTTCTCCTCAAGGGGAGAGGGGAGATGAGGCTAGGAGATGCCCTGTGATCCTTCTGGCTTGGTCCAGAAGAGACAATAGGAGACCCCTATTGAGCCCGCGAAGCAGAGCTCTCCTGCCCATGCCTGGCCCCACCCTGGCGGGGTAAGACACGTCTAGTGCCCAGACCAGAATGGAGAGGCCCTCAAGCAGCCAGACGTCCCGAATATGCCTCCCTTCCGTTGTGGTCACCCTAAGACCCTCCTTTGACGAGCGATCGGCTGCCAATCTCCAGAGGTGGGGAAACAGGGACTTAAAATAATAACAGGGCTGGGCACATAAGCCACTTTGTTAGCAGCAATTTGCTTAATATTTTAAAACAACTATCATCATTGTCAGGAGCCCAGGTCCAACCTAACAGCCACGGGAGGGCAGAGAGCGAAGGGCCAGCCTCAGAAGGCCCATTCCGAGCCCCACACTCCTCATCCCCTCCGCCTCGGACTTGCAGCCACAGCGGACTGGCCGCTCTGAGGGCTCCCCCCTCGGACCTTTCCGGGACAGCCCTAGGGAGGATTTTGTATTGCCTGCAGAAGGCAGCGCTGCGAAAACAAAGGCGCGGACTCGCCAGCAGGCGCAGATACAAATGGCCCGTCCCAACCCCCGCCCCTCCAATTCCAGCAGGCCCCATACGCCAGCCCCGTGGCCGCCGCGCCCTCCTGTCCCCATAGTCCTCTGGCTCTGGCGGGGCCGCACGTCCTCACCCGAAGGCTTGAAGACCAGGGAAAGGCAGACAGCTGCACCGCGACCACTTCTCACACAGGACAAGGTTAACCTTCTCGTGTGGAACCCAACAGTTATAAGCTGCGTGACAGGCTCCGCCCCCAGACCCCTCTCCAGTCCTCTCGGATTGCCCAAGGGATACTAGATCCACCTCGTCGCCCCTCCCACCACTTTAGACGTGCTGACCTGAGTCCACTGTCTCCCCTCTACTCAGGACCTCACCCTTGCAACTGGGTGTTGATAGCGTCATGCAAGATCTGCCTATCCAGACCCCATCCAAGCCCACTGATCCCCCAGGGACTGGTGGCCGGTCTACTTCCCCTGCTTCTCCTACTACTTTCGTTCTGAGGGTCCACTTCCCTTCTTCCCAAGTATGCTCACTCCTCCACGATAATAGGGGCCTCTACAATAAGCAGACACATTTTACCCAGTTAGCTTTGAACGTCTGAAACTCAGAGATCCAAGCTGAAGGAGCCGTAATCAGGTACTCCTGGCTTTTTATAGCCATCGGAGCCTACGTAAGCTGTGACAACCAAACAGTGGAAGTGATGCTCAGTGTTCTCTGTTCTAATCCTCTGCCAGGTCATGGAGGAGGGATGTTCATGGAGAGGGTGGCCAGTTCTGGGTCATTCACCCCCACAGCTGGGCATTTCTGTGACACTGGTGCGCTCTTATGTAAAAGTCCTATTTTCAAATTTTTCAGCCACTGACCATGGTAGCAGTCAGTTTAGGGTAATCAGAGAAACTACTGAGGCTATTCATCCTTTTTTTTTTTTAACTTTTATTGGAGTAGAGTTGCTTTAGAATATTGTGTTAGTTTCTACTGTACAGCAAAGTGAACCAGCTATTTCTATAGCTATACGTATACATATATCCCTTCTTTTTTGGATTTCCTTCCCATTTAGCTCACAACAGAGCACTGAGTAGAGTTCTCTGTGCTATACAATAGTTTTGCATTAGTTACTTATTTTATATGTAGCATCAATAGTGTATATATGATCAGGCTTCCCTGGTGGCACAGTGGTTAAGAATCCGCCTGCCAATGCAGGGGCCATGGGTTCCAGCCCTGATCTGGGAAGATTCCACATGCCACGGTTCAGCTAAGCCCATGCACCGCAACTACTTAGACTGTGCTCTAGAGCCCTCAAGCCACAACTACTGAAGCCCGAGTGCCTAGAGCCAGTGCTCCACAGCAAGAGAGGCCACTGCAATGAGAGGCCACTGCAATGAGAGGCCGTGCACCGCAACGAAGAATAGCCCCCACTCGCCGCAACTAGAGGAAAGCCCATGTGCAGCAATGAAGACCCAACACAGCCAAAAATAAATAACTACTTAAATAAATTTATTTTAAAAAGTGTACATATGTCAATCCCAATCTCCCAATTCAATCCACCGCCCCCTTCCCTCCTTGGTAACCATACGTTTGTTCTCTATGTCTGTGTCTCTATTTCTGCTTTGTAAATAAGGTCGTCTATACCAATTTTTTCACACTCCACATATATGCATTAATATACGATATTTGTTTTTCTCTTTCTGACTTACTTCACTCTGTACGACAGTCTCTAGGTCCATCCACGTCTCTACAAATGACCCAATTTCACTCCTTTTTATGACTGAGTAATATTCCATTGTATATGTGTACCACATCTTCTTTATACATTCCTCTGTTGATGGACATTTAGGTTGCTTCCATGTCCTGGCTATTGTAAATAGTGCTGCAATGAACATTGGGGTGCACGTGTCTTTTTGAATTATGGTTTTCTCTGGGTATATGCCTAGTAGTGGGATTGCTGGGTCATATGGTAGTTCTATTTTTAGATTTTTAAGGAAACTCCATACTGTTCTCCATAGTGGCTGTATCAATTTACATTCCCGCCAACAGTGCATGAGTGTTCCCTTTTCTTCATGCCCTCTCCAGCATTTACTGTTTGTAGATTTTTTGATGATGGCCATTCTGACTGGTGTGAGGTGATACCTCATTGTAGTTTTCATTTGCATTTCTCTAATAATTAGTGATGTTGAGCATCTTATCATGTGTTTGTTGGTCATTGGTATGTCTTCTTTGGAGAAATGTCTATATAGGTCTTCTGCCCATTATTTGATTGGGTTATTTCTTTCTTTGATATTGAGGAGCTTGAGTTGTTTGTATATTTGGAGATTAATCCTTTGTCAGTTGCTTCATTTGCAAATATTTTCTCCCAAAATGAGGATTGTCTTTTCATCTTGCTTATGGTTTCCTTTCCTGTGCAAAAGCTTTTAAGTTTAATTAGGTCCCATTTGTTTATTTTTGTTTTTATTCTCATTGCTCCAGAAGGTGGGTCAAAAAAGATCTTGCTGCAATTTATGTCAAAGTGTGTTCTGCCTATGTTTTCCTCTAAGAGTTTGATAGTGTCTGGCCTTACGTTTGGGTCTTTATTCCATTTTGAGTTATTTTTGTGTATGGTGTTAGATAGTGTTCTAATCTCATTCATTTACATGTAGCTGTCCAGTTTTCCCAGCACCACTTATTGAAGTGACTGTCCTCTCCATTGTATATCCTTGCATCCTTTGGCATAGATTAGTTGACCATATGTGCATGGGTTTATCTCTGGGCTTTCTATCCTGTTCCATTGATGTATATTTCTGTTTTTGTGCCAGTACCATACTGTCTTGATTACTGTAGCTTTATAGTATAGTCTGAAGTCAGGGAGTCTGATTCCTCCAGCTCCAATTTTATTCTCAAGATTGCTTTTGCTATTTGGGGTCTTTTGTGTCTCCATACAAATTTTAAGATTTTTTGTTCTAGTCCTGTAAAAATGCCTTTGGTAGTTTGATAGGGATTGCATTGAATCTGTAGATTGCTTTGGGTATTATAGTCATTTTCACAATACTGATTCTTCCAATCCAAGACCATGGTATACCTTTCCATCTGTTTGTGTCATCTTTGATTTCTTTCATCAGTATCTTGTAGTTTTCTTCAAAAAGGTCTTTTGCCTCCTTAGGTAGGTTTATTCCTAGATATTTTATTCTTTTTGTTGCAATGTTAAATGGGATTGTTTCCTTAATTTCTCTTTCTGATTTTTGTTGTTAGTGTATAGGAATGCAAGAGATATCTGTGTATTAATTTTGTATCCTGTGATATAACTAAATTCATTGATTAGCACTAATAGTTCCCTGGTGGCATCTTTAGGATTTTCGATGTGTAATATCATGTCATCTGCAAACAGTGACTGTTTTACTTCTTCTTTGCCAATTTGGATTACTTTTGTTTCTTTTCTTCTCTGATTGCCGTGGCTAGGACTTCCAGAACTATGTTGAATAATAGCAGTGAGAGTGGGCACCCTTGTCTTATTCCTGATTTTAGAGGAAATGCTTTCAGTTTTTCACCATTGAGAATAACGTTTGCTATGGGTTTGCCATATATGACCTTTATTATGCTGATGTAGGTTCCCTCTGTGCCCACTTTCTGGAGAGTTTTTATCATAAATGGGTGTTGAATTTTGTTGAAAACATTTTCTGCATTTATATAGATGATCATATGGTTTTTATTCTTCATTTGCTAATGTGGTATATCACATTGATTGATTTGCATATATTGAAGAATCCTTGCATCTCTGGGATAAATCCCACTTGATCATGGTTTATGATCCTTTTAATATGTTTTTGGATTATGTTTGCTAGTATTTTGTTGAGGATTTTTGCATCTGTGTTCATCAGTGATATTGACCTCTTTTCTTTTTTTGTGATATCTTTGTCTGGTTTCATATCAGAGTGATGGTGGCCTCATCGAATGAGTTTGGGAGTGTTCCTCTCTCTGCAATTTTTTGGAAAAGTTTGAGAAGAATAGGTGTTAGCTCTTTTCTAAATATTTGACAGAATTCACCTGTGAAGCCATCTGGTCTTGGAATTTTGTTTGTTGGAAGATGTTTAATCACAGTTTCAATTTCAGTACTTGTGATTGGTCTGTTCATATTTTCTATTTCTTCCTGGTTCAGTCTTGTGAGATTGTACCTTTCTAAGAATTTGTCCATTTCTTCCAAGTTGTCCATGTTATTGGCATATAGTTGCTTGTAGTAGTCTCTTACGATCCTTTGTATTCCTGTGTTGTCTCTTGTAACTTCTTTTTCATTTCTAATTTTATTTATTTGAGTACTGTCCCTTTTTTTCTTGATGAGTCTGACTAAAGGTTCATCAATTTTGTTTACCTTCTCAAAGAACCAGCTTTTAGTTTTATTGATCTTTGCTATTGTTTTATTTGTTTCTATTTCATTTATTTCTGCTCTGATCTTCATGATTTCTTTGCTTCTACTAACTTTAGGTTTTGTTTGTTCTTCTTTATCTAGTTGCTTTAGGTGTAATGTTAGGTTGTTTATTTGAGATTTTTTCTTGTTTCTTGAGGTAGGATTATATTAGTATAAACTTCCCTCTTAGAACTGCTTTTGCTGCATTCCATAGGTTTTGGGTCTTGTGTTTTCATTGTCATTTATTGCTAGGTAATTTTTGATTTCCTCTTTGATTTCTTCAGTGATCTCTTGGTTATTTAGTACCATATTGTTTGGCCTCCATGTGTTTGTGTTTTACAGTTTTTTTTTCCTGTAATTGGTTTCTAATCTCATAGAACTGTGGTCAGAAAAGATGCTTAATATCATTTCAATTTTCTTAAATTTACTGAGGCTAGATTTGTGACCCAAGATGTGATCTGTCCTGGAGAATGTTCCATGTGCACTTGAGAAGAAAGCACATTCTGCTGCTTTTGGATGGAATGTCCTGTAAATATCAATTAAGTCTATCTGGTCTAATGTTTCATTTAGGGCTTGTATTTCCTTATTAAATTTCTGTCTGGATGATCTATCCCTAGCTGTAAGTGGAGTGTTAACGTCTCCCCAATTACTGTGTTATTGTCAATTTCCCCTTTTATGGCTGTTAGCATTTGGCTTGTGATTGAGGTTCTCCTCTGCTGGGTGCATATATATTTACAATTGTTATATCTTCTTCTTGGATTGATCCCTTGATCCTTATGTAGTGTCCTTCCTTGTCTCTTGTAACAGTCATTATTTTAAAGTCTAT